GCGATCACCAGTGCCGTCTCACTCTGGACAAACCCATGACGTCAAGCTAAAATGAAATGTCATGGAACCATGATGTACGCATCTTGAGCCTGTTTGGTGTGCAAAATTCTTTGGCCAAAAGGCCTTTCTTCCCATCTCAGTTAGCTGAATCCCGGCGAGCCATTCATGACCCCAAATTATTCATTGGTTAGTATTCGATACTTTGGTGCCGTCAGTATCATTTCTCAGAACGACAATTTTAAAAAACAAACAATTACGCGGAAATATAACAACTGTGAAACATGGTGCTTTGTAATTACGACGCCCCTTGATAGTTTGTTTTTTTATTCATTACGTCACAGTAGATGTCTTTCAAATGGTTTTCTCATGGTCCGAACACTTACCTGAAAATTTTCATCTGTGACTGAATAACAATCATTCACCTTGCAGAGTGTTGATCGATTGTAATGGGTAGATTATTCTACAAATAGATACATGGGGTTTAGTCTCCTATCCATTATCACCAAGTTGCGATTTATTCGGGGAACTGACAGCTGTCTTATGTTTCATTCACCTGTATACATAGGCACAATAAACTGAAAACTCGCGATGTTATGATAAAATTTTGCGCGTTTAATGGAACATTAAGAGTTGGTTTTAAGGAAAAAAGATCAGATCAGTCTGGCGTTTTATCTACATAACCCTCACAGTTTTCGCCCATTAGGAATAGGAGGCCAAAGAGGAACAACCAATCACATGAAACGTTAAGCCAGCCGGTTTGTCCAAGTGCCATTTCGATAACCCTCTGCTTAAGTGGGATTCTGGAAGGTTCGATAAGGCAGCATCATTGATCCATCACCTTGGTTCTGCTGAGTTGTGTCCTGGTTAACGCGATCGGTCGGATGCTGTCCATAAGAGATTTCGCGTTCAGCTGTTTTAGGTCTCCCGTCCCGCAAAAGGCTGAGCAAAAACGGATCCATCCAGTGAACACTTAGCTAGTATGCGGAGAATATGATGTAACGAGCGTAAATTACTGGGCTCATCCGGCACAAATGAGGTGCTTCTTCTGAAGATCGGTCACTCGACGTAACACAGCACTTATGCTTCCACCTGAATGAAGCGCTTCTTTGGGGATGGAACTAGTCGGGTCTTTGTAAATCCAAGATGTAAAGCAGTCACTTCTCCGGTTCATTAAGTACTGCGCATTGTACTAGCAGACACGATGATAAAACAGCCTTAATAGTTGGAGAAATATCTGTCCGGAACCAAACAAACAACCTCGAAGCTAACAGTAGTCAACTTTCCTCGTCAAAACGGTAAACTGTCTCAACTAACCAACTCAGCCTCTCACTTCCAGTACTTCGTTATGCAAGTTTTGCTGCTGCAGTGCAGTCCAGCATCGTCATTATCGTCATCGACAGCATGACATCAATGTTCAACACCAATGCCCACTACCGTACAACGACGATTTCTTTGAAAACCTAGGGGAAAGAAAAGAATAAAATTGGTCACGGACTTAGAGCTAGCTTACTACAACCAATCCGAGGTGCCTACACCTCCAGACGGCAATCAGGATAGAAACTGACAACAAGATCGCACTGACATCGGGTTTGAAGCCATATCTTGTGGTGTCTCCAACCAGGCGCACTGGGGATCACGCGGTCTTCGTCCTGGAAGGCGAGTAGCACCGACAGCACCCAAGCGTTTCGTAATCTCCTTCATATCCCTCTACCAAGTCAAAGGTTGGCCACCTCTCTGTTTACGCCACTCTGAGTTGGGCATGGAAAACATCATTATTCTGCAAACGGTGGTTGGGCATACGCAACGCATGTCCCAACCAACGCAGCTTCTGGTGCTCGACACATTCTTCAACGTAAGTCCAACGTAAACACAACCGAAAACTCGCCTTCTAATCGCCTCGTTACGGATAAGCCGACACCAACTCACACAAGCCATGGTTTTGGGACAACGATTGTCGAAAACCTGAAGACGTCTCAGTTCCGCTGCTCGAACAGGCCAAGTATCACAGCCAAAAACACTCGCACCCACTCCTGCTCTTCGAAAATGGGAACGTATTCCAGATCGGCAAGGGTCTCTTCACAGGCTATTTGAACACCAGGGTGTTGGAGACCTTCAAGCTTTCGTCTCCTTATCTCATCGACCAAAAAGTTAAAAAGGAATGGGGAGAGTGGGGATCCTGACGGACGCCACTTTGTGTACGGTAGCTCTTGGAGAGCCCTAAGTATACCCTCAAACGTCCGGAAGTCTGAAAATACAAAGAACGTGTTAATCCCGGACAAGCCTTAATGGGTAAGCGTGTCAAGGATGACAGATCGATCAGCCGAGTCGAATGCGCCTCGGAAATCCAGGAATTCTGGAATTGTGGGTCGCTTATACGTAAAGCGTTCTTCTAGAACCTGACACAGTATGAAGATTTGGTGACTGTAACCAGCAACAACTCAGTCATCAAAGTTTTATTACACTGATGTAGGGAATTGGGAGAGTGGAAGAATGAGTGTCCCCACCGAAAAAATACATCGACATCCAATCTTCTCGTTGGGCGGAGCGGTGGATGATCAATCTAGAATTCACTCAGAGTAGGAGTAACTTTATGAGATGAGTGAAACTTAAAAACTGAGAAAATCGTTAGTCGGACAGTCACTCAATACGTGATGTGACACCTGCGATTGACGGATGAGCGGCGATCCATCCTGTCTAAGTACGAGTTTATTAGCCGCTTGAGACCGAACGGTTGTGTCCAGCTGCAGTCCAGAAGGTCGCAGGTTTGAGACTGTGAGTTTCGTGAGATATACACTGCTGTGGATGATGATGAAACAGTTGTAAAGTACTTCTCGCTCTTCAATATACACTGGTTCCAATGACAAGACGAAATGTCAATCAAGGAATCATATCCACATAGCAAAATAGCAATGCCTTAAAACTGTTCGGAATGCACATTTATGCTACCCTCAACAAAATGACAGTCTCCACGCTCGAAAGGACAACCCAACAAAAGTACTCGCATCCAGAAGGCAGATACTATTTCTCATGACCCATTTTTCCGCTCTACAGACGGAGAATTGTCGCATTATTTTTTAGTATTGTAGAATATTTTTTTCGGACACAGAATGAAACGAGACTAAACTTTGTCCAACCGTCTCCTCCAGCTAATGATAAACTAAGCGAATGCGAAAAGCGACGAGTGAAATGTGCGCGACACGTCTAACAACTGTCGTTCCCCCATCAAAAGATGAGTTTAGTTCGGCTTGATAATTAGCTCCCGTTTTCCAACCACGTAAACTGCCAATCAGCAGCAGGCGGAAAACAAAAATGATTGCTTCATTTTTTTTCCGAAGCAGACAGGACAGCAATGAATCCAGTGGACATCGTAGGATAGTTCACTCAATACGTGCATTGCGTGCGATATGAAGCTACAAATGGAATCAGTGCAGGTAAATCCTGGCCGAAAGCGAATCGATATGTCTTCCACGTTGAACGGTCATGAGGTAATTAATGATTTGCCAGCAAGCTTCCTAAGCGTACTGTTTGATTAGTAAGTTTAGAGTTAGCCGGATTATCTACAAAAGACTACCACGAAAGACTGCGAGAGATATCATAGGGGAAACAGCTCACCTAAGGACACGCCAAGGTCAAATCCTACTGGATGATTCTTAGCGCACCCACGGAATTTTTTTAAAAAAAGATGTTACTGTCATTGCATGTGAGAGCATTGGTACATTTTAACCCTTACTGAGGTTGGCGAATGCATCGTGAATGGGTAACGGTAGCCTTAAATAACTTCAAACAAGGACGGTGAACATGAGAGTTTCAAGGTTACCCGTCTTTGATTTGAACACGCAATACAGCGGGGTATTACCAAACACCAAACAATTTAGACAGATGGAATGGTACTCATAGAAGCAATACGAGCGATATGGTCCAAATGGTTAGAGCGCGAATTTAGTGACCGGAAGGTCCGTGGTTCGAAACCTACCTCTGCCTCTCGACTTCCCCTGTCTAGGCTTGGGCAACCTGGCAGTATCCCAGCCCTCATGCTTCCTTCGAGTGACATGGCAGCTAGGCACAGAAAGGGTGCTACAGCTGAACGATACGAGCTACTTTGCTTGTTGAAGACCCATGTCTGTTTGCCTAGAGGTAATCGCGGTCTACGCTGGATATCATTGTTGATCTGGTTTGTTCGACACCAATGATATGGCTGTCAGTCATAGAAAATTACGTGAAAACATCCACTGAGGTGTTAATGAGGCTGGAGGAAAGAAGGATGTCCTTAGGCTGACCAGGAGATAGTTTAAGAACCTATTGATCTGACGTAAGTTTGCTTCAAGGAGTCATTTTATACCACTTCCTCTGCCAGCTACACGCCCAAACCATATCCTCTCATCTGACACGAGTACCCGATGATGTTGTGGCGAGTTCTGGTGGTTTCATATGCGACCTTAGAAACGAGCTTGAACTATCATTCCAATATTAAAAGGAATATTAGTCTGTGTCTTGACAGGACAAACTCCGTACCGTTCCATTCCTCTTGGTGAACAACTTCCCGCGTCCCTGGAAGTTACCTTGCCTAGAGGTCTTGGTCGGTCTTCCTCATATTAAAGCAGAAGACTGTTTGTCAGACCTCTGTTCATTGACCGGTAGGAAAGACTCCGCGGGTGGTGCTATATTGGTACCCTCCAGTGGAGCTCAACAGGTTACCGGAATGCGTAAACCGTCGCACCACGAAAACTTCCGGTTTCTTCGCGATGGTTTTTGGCCTTTTTGTACCGTTATTACGAACTACCGTACAGTCTACGATCAATCCGTGACGTACTGAACGACCTCGAACAAATTCCTGATACTGGTTGACAAGTGTAACGAAAAAGACTGGCCCCATTGTGAATGAGACTCAGAATTGGAATCGAATTGGCGAGACTGACTTGCAAAAATGGAAACGACGTCGAAGCATCCGAACGAGTTTACGAATCACCAATCCCCCAGCCACACGAGCAAAAAAGCGAAATAAAGGAACCAGGGACAGTTTAGCTTGCGATCATAAAATTACAAAGGTACCAAACGACACATGCAGTTTCCCAGACCATGGGGAGAAGACCGCCAGCTAGTATTCCTGTTCTGCATCACGTGTTTTTGACTCAGCCAAGGCACGAAATCGTTCGATAACGTGTTCCACCGTATGTTCACCGTGAATTTTGTTGTCCCGTGTGCGAACATTCACTGTGCCGCTAGTGGCTTCTTTCTCCCCGACAACTGCAGCAGAATAAAGAGGGCGCGGATGGAACATTCACTGTGCCGCTAGTGGCTTCTTTCTCCCCGACAACTGCAGCAGAATAAAGAGGGCGCGGATGAGTAGTCACGAAAGAAATTTCAAAAAAAAAACATGACTGAGCACCGCCCAGTCGACAGGAAGACGAGTTACTGCTGTGAGCATTCTGCAACGACTGGCAGACAGCACAGATATGTACAAAAGCACGATTTGTTTGGCCAGGGTAGAGATGTTCCGAGATGCTGGTTCTAAAACGTTAGAGGTTAACGTGACAACTACAGTCTCCCCCTAGAATGTCTCCCCGCTTGACTTATACCCAGATTCGCTATAGTGACAATTTCGACTGCAGTAGTTCGCATTCCGTCTTTTCCCTGAGGTCACCATTCTAACAAGCAAGCCACCACCTGGATGTTTCACAGAGTGTCAGGTCTTTTCAACCAATGGGCCGAAGAAAATCAGACGCTCCAGTAATATGATTGCGGCCAACGACCACATCGTGGGGTGTGTAAGTAGCAAACTTTCTGTCCGACAATTTTATCGGCTACTTTTCACTAAGTTCAATTTGGTCAAACACCTTCAAGTGCTAAGGAAGCAGCCAGTTCCTCCCAAAACTCCTACAAGATGAATATCTTGAGCTTACTTCCGATTCCGTAAAACTGCCTGAGTCCGAGACGAAGAGCCCTTCTCAAAGAAGCTGCGCAGCTCATGTGACGATTGGTTCCTATCGATGGCCAGGGGATGTGGGAAGAGCTCCGAGCCTTCCGTATGACACCAGCATCGAGGAAAAGGGTGACGTGAAATAATGAGAATATTCGACAGGACAAGCCAGCGGTCATTTGTCCGCCAAATATCTCCACCAAAATCCGATGAAAAACAACATTAGCTGTCATGCCTTGAGGCGCCGGGGAACACTGGGACTTCGTCGAACATAACGACAAACTAAAACGTCAACCTACCCAGGATGAAATTGTACTGAGCCAGCTGTCCAGTGCGGATTTTCTTGTTCATCGTGCGTCCAGGGTCAGTATCCACGTCCACTTCGAATCCCGCGTCGTGCAGACGTGTTTTCACCTCAGTGGCGTACTGGTCAAACGGCGAAGCGACCGGTACAACAAGAGCTTGTCTAGGACTGAGCCAGAAAGGCCATTTACCTAGAGGTAAAAGTAAATTAAAGTCACCTGGGTCGTTCAAATCACAGAAAATCACAACTGCTCGGAGTAGGTTAAATGCGAATAAGAACCAAACAATCACGAAGTCTCATGGGAATGTAAATGAAATGACGAAAAAGCTCGATAAATACCAAGTCAGTGTACGTTTCCTGATCACCTTCAACCCGTATGTAAATTGATATTTCTAACATGTGATTGTGTGCATTTATCGTTATCTTCTGGGATGTAGATCAAAGAGCCGACGTGCAACGTATCCAGGGGCACGGGATGCACTTTTAAACACGTCGAAATCGTCTCCTTTTGAGGAGGGACTGGTTAGTGGGAGTGTCACTCTGTAGAGTCAATCGATTGAGCCCAGCTTGCAGCAAAAAGTATTTGACAGATAACCAATACACCTTTTAAATTCAGTCATAATCGCCTGCAAAACCCGGCGGGGTCAAAGGATCAGTAATTCGATTTTTTCGGTCACATTCTGCGTAAAACTGTCGCGGTCTCCAACCGGGTCGTGTGTGCTGCGGGCTGGCGAGGAAGTTTTTATGAAGAGGCAGAAAGGCTCTCGCAAATACACCGAAAGCTTGACCCTATGGTTGCATTTTTGTCTAAAACGATTAGCTATTCGTCCCTTCGGAACACAACCATTCTTTGGAATGATTAAAGTGGTGTCGTAGCATGAGTAATGCAACGAGTAGCCAGCTTACTGTCAGCTTAAATCGCTTTTAATTCACGGAATGCTTAGCCACCCGCAACAACGAAGATGCGTGGATGACATTCGTTTGAAGAATCCGTTAGCAAATATCAACAATGAGTGATAGAAGGTTGAAGTTTATTACAGAATTGTCATCGGATTTCTGCGGAGGCTCGTCATTACTAGGCCGTACAACGGCTACACACGATTTCAGTTCCAGATCCAGCTAGATTAGTCGAATACTGGGTGTAGCGTCGGTCCAAAGTGAGTCTGCATGAACCTCCTTGCTTTCTGAGACAGTTTCAAACGCCAAACAAAAATAAACTCATCAAACAGTGGCAGGAAAAATGCTTGACTGAATGCACGCACAATCAGGCTCAAATAACAAATTCCTCCCAATGCTCGGAATTGCGTGATAGTGGATGAAAATAGGGAAAGCCTGTGTGTTTTGCATGGTCGAACATGCTGGTCAATTTAGACTATAGTAAGACGAAGCCTGAAAAAATGCGAAAAACGCTTTCTGTGAAAATCAGCTAGCAGAACGATCGTAAAGGAAAACCATGCAGTCTATTGTGAACATTAAGCATCGACAAAGTAGAACCAGATCGGTTCCAGCTGACTTCCGCCATCCCATCTAGTTTTGTCGTTGCAAAAAAGGCCACAAGTGAACCAAGTGGTACGCACCTCGATGATCTCAGATGGATCCTAGAAATCCGTTTAAGAATTTTGCCTCGAAACTGAGTAGACTGCTGTCAGTACCCAAAACAGCTAATCCCCACACCTTTATTTTTTGGACTGAACATGTTGATAAGCAGGGTTACAGAACTTGTTCGGACATGCGTTAACCCCTGACAGGACTGCAATACCGGCAGAATATTTTTACAAAATTTGGTCATCTCTCTGACAAAAAAATGGGTGTAAGACAACGAAACTCGGATTTTTACGATGTGTCAACTTAAGCGAAGATTTCAGTAAGAAAGGCGAAAACGAACATGCGTCAGCCAAAAGCCAGTTCCTTTTGAAAAACAGACTCTTGTGTGTCACTGGACGAACGGCGTCAATGTCGGGGACGAGTTCATTTGAGTATTATACAAGCCTATCCACTTTCCATTGAATACCCCTAAGACAAATCACATGCGATTCGAATAACCACTCCATACGAGGCGAAAAGTTCTGCTCCGTGTCAAACACATTCAAAAGAGTTGTATCTGGAGTGGACTAAGTCCACTAAGTCCCTTCCCCGTCCAACTTTACTCTTTTCTTTACAATAGGGCTTTCAAATAAATCATAGGTGTACGGCAGTGAAGCATCGGTGTTAAACACTGATGTCATGCTGTCGATGATGATGATGATAATGATTGGCGTACTGACAACCGTTTTGACTATTTTCTTGTCGGACTACACATCTAAATGCGTTGTTGTTGTTTTTCATGCCCAATTCAGAGTGGCGTAAACAGAGAGGTGGCCAACCCTTCACTTGGCAGAGGAGTATGAAGGAAATCACGAAACGCTTGGGTGCTGTTGGTGCTACTCGCCTTCCAGGATGGGGACCGCGTGATTCTCACTGTGCCTGGTTGGAGACACTACAAGATATGGCTACCAACCAATGTCAGTGGCGTTTCTGTTGTCAGTTTCTATCCAAATTGCCTGAGTGAATATCTGGAGGTATAGGCACCTCGGAATGATTGTGTTAAGCTAGCACTAAGTCCCTTCCTCGTCCACCTTTATTCTTTTCTTTAAAATAAGGCTTT